AACTGTGACAGTGATAACGACACAGCATCCATTGACACACAGATCGCTGTGCAAAATTTTAAGAACGTCCCACGTCAAGCTGTAGGTCGGGCGCGTAGACTACCTACTAGGTTTGCTGACAACAACTTGGAAAAAACTACTTCAAACAGGGTGAAGCGAGTATCTTCTGAATCTCACATTCCCAGGACTAACAGACCCAGTCTGAAAACTGTTGACCGTGAGACTAGATCTACTTCAGATGAAAGAAACAGGAGTGAAGCGCTCTCAGTTCCAACGACAGAACCATGCAGGGCGCAGGTCATAACCAGTTCGGCGACCAAGTCACTGACGAAAATCACACAGAATGTGATGCAATTCCGTTCTGAGGCTCTCAGTGTCAGGGTCACTGGACTAGGCTTTAGTAAACTCCGAAAAAGGTCAAGTAACTAAGCCTAAACGGCATGCTAAGAAGCCAATAACGGTAACCGAGCCAGCTGTCATCACTCCCCATAGCAAAGACAAAGTAGAGATCCTTGACAGGTCCGTTATTTTCCACAGAGTGGAAGAAAGTAGAGACCAGAACCACGTAAATGTTTCAAACATGACCTTGACAAGGTACAAAGTTTGATAAACCAGCTTTTACCAGAAAACATGCCGGAGCCACCCTACTCAAGATATATAAAGTAGGAAAACAGGAAACAGTCATTACTGAAAATAAGTTTCGGCTACTTAAAGTCGTGTTCAAGTCAGCAGATGAGAGGAATCAGATTCTGAAGAATGCCCACAGGTTTCAAGGATCTGAAATGTTCTTGCGAAAGGGTCTGGCTCTTGCTGGTCCAGTCAAAAAACAAGGAGCAGAAGCAGAACTAAAATCCAGATTACCAGCTGGAGAGCAAGATCTAAAAGTAGTGGGTTTTCGTGTAGTGAGGTTTCGGCAACAAATGATGCCGAAGCCTCTACGGAAGGATGGAAGCTGATTTAAGTAGTTTCGTTGTCTTGTACACAAATGCGAGTAGTCTTTTAATCAAGTGGACTGAGCTTAGTAATATGATAAGCAATGAAAGCCCTGACGTCATTGCTATCTCAGAAACTTGGTTCTCTCCTTGGATCAGTGACTGTGAAACACACTTGCGAGGATTCATCCGTTTTAAAAGTGACAGGTTTGCACGCAAAGGTGGTGGTGTCATCCTTTACTTTAAGAATAGCTTAACTGTAAAAGCCGTAGAAACAGTTGTACTTGAAAGTGAGACATATGAAATGCTGCGCTGCCGACTAAAATTCAAGGGGAAGGTGTTAACGTAATCGTAATATATCGAAGCCTTGAGTGTGAAGCGGCAGACTTCCTCCTGAGTAAGCTGACCCTCTGGGCAGATAAATGCCAATGTCTGGTTATAGAAGATTTTAACACACCATCAGTTAACTGGGATAGACTTACAACAAAAGCACCACGTGATTTGTTTGACCACCGGTTAGTGGAAACACCAATAACCTTAGCCCTCATACAGCACACTAGGACATCAACCAGATATGATCATCAGCATGCTCCATCAGTTCTGGACTTAGTGTTCTCACATACAGATGATGTGTGCTTCATCCGGCACCTAGCACCGGTTGGCGAAAGTGATCATCTTCAGATTTACAACAGACGTCTTGTACCAGGCCCATGCCCCAGCTAGACCCAACATACGGAAAGCAAATATGGAAGCTAGTAACCTGGCAGGCTCTTCGGAAGACTGGACAGTCATTCCAGAAGCCTCAATTGAAGGTGCTTGGTGTTCCTTCAAACAGCTATATGCACGAGTGACACAACCGTTCATTGCGTGGACTGTCCCGAGGGGACAGAAACACCGTCCTCCGTGGATAAACCACGAAATTCGAATCTTGCTGCTATGAAAGAAAAAGTGTTGGAGACTTGGCACCCACCTCGGTACACCCGAAGTGGTGAAACATTACAAAGCGGCCCGCAATAAATGTATCGCTGTTATCCGCCGGTCTCGAATATGTTTCGAAACACGTCTTGTCCAGGCTGCATTGCAACATCCGAAAGGTTATTTTCCTATATGAACTATAGAAATAAGATATGTCGTGGTATACCCACCCTAATCAATGGGACAGAAAGTGAATGCTTGATTGAGGACGATAGGGAAAAAGCAGAAGCCATGGCTGGATATTTTGCTTAAGTCTTCACGCAGGAATCCCCTGTGATTTGTTATCCAACAGTAGAAGCATTGATATCCAACAGAATAAACTCTGTGAATGTCGATCGTAATGATGTATTTCGGACATTAAGTATTCTTGGTATGGAAGAATCAACGAGACCGGATGAGCTGCACTCAAGGCTGCTCACAGAGCTTGCTCTCTATGTGGCCGGCCCATTGACTACTATATTCAGACTGTCTTTCAGTGAAGGCACAATCCCCTATGACTGGAAGGATAACATAGTAACACCTATCCACAAGGCAGGTTTACGGCAGCTCCCATCAAATTACAGACTAGTAAGTTTGACTAGTACTGTAGTGAAAATCTTAGAAAGAGTAATCAAGAAGTTCATCATAGTCCACCTAGAGAGCAACACGGTATTGTCTCTTTCATAGCACGGTTTTCGTAGAAATTTCTCTTGCTTGAAGAACCTTCTTACAACCCGAGAAAGTTGAGCTAAGTCTAAAGATGATAGGATACCGGTAGATATCATTTTCATTGACTTTAGTAAGGGTTCGACAAAGTACTTCATTCCAGGTTGCTCGGAAAACTGAGAAGTTTTGGAATCACTGGCAGTCTTCTTGCATGGATAAGAGACTTTCTTGTCGGTAGCAGACAAAGAGTTCGGATCAATTCTCAACTCTCCACTTGGAAGTCGGTAGAGAGTAGAGTGCAGCAAGGCACAGTCCTGGGCCCCCTGCTGTTTCTCCTATACGTAAATGAGCTGCCAAACATCACGAAATCCCTATGGTTCCTAAGCTGATGGTGTAAAAATCTGGCGAGAAATTAGGAACTATGAGGATATACGTGCACCCCAGGCAGACCTGAACAGCTTGTTTACCTGGTCAGAGAACTGGTTGATGCCTATCAGTGCAGGTAAATATGTGAGCATGAACTTGGGGCACACACACAGCAACACCTACGATATTGATGAGACTCCTTTACCGTCAGTACTGACCCACAATGACCTAGGAGTCATGGTTAGTTATGACTTGAAAACCACGGCTCATTGTCGATTGGTAGCAGCTCGGAGTTTTAGGACTCTCTGGGTATCACGTAGAACGTTTGCAAAATAAGTAGTGACATGTTCATCATCTTATACACATCCTTAGTTAGGTCTAAATTAGAAAACTGTACACAGGCAGCCAATCCTTGTCTGAAAGGTGACGCAGACCTTCTAGAAAGAGTTCAGAGGGCAGCCACTCGTATGATCCCTGCGATGGCCGGCCTCACCTTTGGAGACCGACTTAAGGAGCTGAACCTCTTCACTTTGTCCTACCGCAGACAGAGGGGAGGCCTAATCATGCTATACAGGATTCTTAGAAATGCCTTTGGACCTAATCTATCTTCTCTTTTCCTTCCCACCAGGTCGGAATACCTCAGAGGACACAGTAAGAGACTACAAAAGCAAAAAACGAACTTAGTCTCCGCACAGTACTAGTTGTGGCGTCGAGTAATCAACTCCTGGGACCGACTCTCAGAAGAACTGGTGTCCGCATCATCAACTGACTCGTTCAAAAGAGGAATGGATGAGCACGCAGAAATCTACTGGAAAAGGATTAATATAGGCTTACAGCCTTCCATGCTCAAGCAACAAGTCTGAATCTGAAAAAGCTTTAACCACTTCAATTGGTGAGACATCTGTACTACATTCACCAATTTATCTCCTCTGTCCAACACTATATGCCCACAATGACGCTCCACTTTCCGTAGTTGAAATCCAAAAAAATGTTAATACGAATACATATCAGGTAAAAGAGGTCAATAATCTTCCCATTTTGTTCATTTTCGATGTTTCATTGTCACCTATGCTTGTTTTTGCAATACATTTCGATGTGCAATGCTAAAGTTGCAAGTTGAATTAGTTTAGTTTGGAAGTCGAGAACTGTGTGACATGGCTGAAAATCAGTCGCAATGTAGCGAATTTATTCACTACTTGACGTCTTCTAAAGCTTGAATATTTGCACTAGTCGTTATCTCCAAGTTGTTTATTCTTTCACACAACTTTGTCTACTTTGATATCACTTTTTCTAGTCGTTTATTCTTTTTATACTAGTATGGAGTGTGGTAACTTGGACTGATACACTTGTGCGCGAGATTGTACGCTAATTTTGTCTGTCTGTCTGTCTCTATATTTGACATATAGCTGGATATGTCAAGTTTTTTAGATGGCTCAAAATAACAAAATGTAAAGTGATGTCTTCATAAGCGTGGTTAACCTATTGACTATAACACAACTTTCCCAATTGCCAAGATATTCTATGCGCCGGCTCCAAGTCCTTGAGCTACGTGACATCAAAGCTTAATGCAGTTTCACATTGACTTCTACCTTACAATTTTAGGTGTTAATAAGAAAACAGTAATTGTTTTTGGGCTTCAGATGTCAGCAGTCATGCTACAAGAGATAAGTGAAGTGATTGAGTGGATTGCAGGATGCTGAACACGAATATACTTTAGTTGTGCATGTACTTCCCCCCCCCCCCAATTCTTTATGTTTCATTAAGTTGCAAAAAATATCAGAAGATATGATGAAGCTTGTGACCGTGAGCATAATTTTTACTTGGCAGAAATATATCATTTATATACGGTTCCCACCAACATAAAAAGAAGCTTAGCCGAAGACTGAATAACGAATTCTCATTGGTCCAATGAAAGTCAATCCTTCCATCAAGGTCATTCTGACCATGTAATAGCATAGGTCAGAAACTCCTATCTAAGCGGTTAATGACTTAAAATGTTGATTTCTGTTTTAGCTACTTCCTATATCAATAAGAAGACATGATTTTTATAATATTTCTTCATAAAAATCTAAACAAAATCACCTTCATTTTCAATTTCAATAAATTCAATTGGACTTGCCACAGCACATCGTGTATCACTCGCTTCAATAAAAATATGCCGAATAAATTTATTATTATCTCCATTAGCTAATAAAGTTAAAAAGTCTTCATTTGAATTCTTTGTAGCTGTTTAAGAAAAACAAAGTGAGAAAGAATATCAAACCTCAATGAACAACGAATCGTTATTCTTCGATTCTATTTGAGTGCGTACAAAAGAAAATAACAAAATTAGACGTCTAAAGGAGATTTGTTGTAAATATGATTCAACTGAGTTAACTGAACACCATACTGTAAGACTAAACGGTATGCATTCATCCCGTGACATCAGGACCGTCGACTATGAATGAATACACTGAGAGGAGTGAACTACTTTTTGACTGATTGACTAATGACATATAAAAGTATGATCTGATCAACACATAGGAATTAGTCAATAAGATTTTTATCAGTGAATGTAAGAATGCAACAGCAGGACGTCAGGTTTAGCCTGTTGACTGTTAAATCGGTGTATCTGACAGATGGACACATAAATAGAGGGTATTTTTTTATCCATAATGTAAGTGAGAGTTGTTTTCTCTTACTTCATTACTTGTCAAATCATGTTTGACAAGCAAACAGAGAAATGTGATAATGAAAAGAGATAAGAGTATCGTCTTGATTAGTTGCATCAACCGCCAATAGTTCTAAGCTTAACAAAGTTGGCAATCTATTAGTTTCCATTGTCAGAGATCACCGAATATGACAACCGATACTGTACACTGTATTCACAAATTTTAATAAGATACAAGGTAAATGAACATAAAAAAGGAAGTAATTTTGAAATGAAATTTTAAGGGTTTGACATTCCAGTATACTGAGAGATCCAAAAGACTGATTTTCAATGAAATAGGTTTGATTAGTTCCCAAAAAAATGTTGACGTGGAAGGGAAGTCGATATGGAGCAATTGTCTGGTAAATAAACTTTCTGAGCACCCAAAGACAAGGCTTGTTGACTTTACGGGTGAAGTTATAGACAAGCCAATAAATAAGCAAAAAATTCATTTCAAAAATCTTTAATCAAACCATCAACTCCATGTAAAATGCGATTTGTCACCGAGGGTGTAGAGGTGCTTCATTGGGTTGCATTCTCTAAGCTAGGTTGTTTAATCGTGGAGATTTCATCCTCCCTCTAGACAACATCATCATCAATAACTTCAATATGAAGTGAGCTGTCAATATCTCTCCATAAGTGATTCAGTAGTAGCCTACACTGATGAACTGCTTTGTCATTGCTTCTCTCCTCTGACTGTTGCCTCATTGACTACACACATTTTCCTATTGGCCCTTCCTCTGTCTGACCACTCACCTTTCTCTCATTTTTCACTTTTATCACTGATTGATAGCTTGGCTCTATGTCTATACATCTATTGACTGCTGACTGACAAACTGACTGAACTAAATACTAAACCTATAGGAATTCTCTGATATTATTATTTGTGTTTCCCCTCTCCGTTCAACCTCAGCACTACACTGTTAAAAGTGAATTCATATCCATAGTTGTTAGTTATCCACATGCACTGAAATCAGTGATGAAATGTCATGTGTGACGTTTAATGTCCAATCAGTGTTCATGTAGATGAAGGTGAAGACGACGACCACTTTCTCCAATGTAGTGTTGACCACAGTTATAACAGTTGATTTTGTAGATGATATTCGGTTTGTCTTCGCTAATTGTTGTTGCATCCCTCGGTCTGCATAGTAGTGTTTGAGGGGGAATTGTTGGTTCGTGAACTTCACCAATTCCAAGTGTTCTGAGTAATCTCGTTGTGATTTCTGATATATTCTTTGTGTATTGTAGGATGATGTGTTTATTGATTTGTGTCGATGACTTTGTAGTTGATGATGTAGGGGATAGGCATTTTGTGGTGAGATTTTGTGGATAGATGTTCTTCTTGAGGATGGGTATCAAGTAATTTTCTTTGTTTCTCTATGAGGTTGTTGTATTGCAGTGCAGTGTGTTCTCACTCTTCTGAATGGAGTGTGAACACAACTAATTTTGTGCGTTGATGGGTTGTTGTTGTTGTTGTTGCCACTGTAGTTGAGGATTTGATGAATGTGTGTTGATTCCCTGTATACTTGTGTTTCCAACATTCCGGTATTTGTCCTATTGATTGAAACATCGATGAATGATAGTTGGTTGTTTCACTCCTTCTCCATTGTGAATTTGATGTCATTGAAAACGTTGTTGATCAAACTGTGAGTGTTTTCTACAACTTCCTTCTGAATGACGCCAAAAGTATCGTTTTATATAGTGAATCCAAATTTTTGGTTTAGTCACAAGTAGAATGATGGCTCCCAGTCTCTGCAACACTGCTTCTACAATTAAAGGTGATGTGGTGATGTGATGTCATCTAGAAAAACGATGAAAGCTCCACAGTTAAACAACCAAGCTCAGAGGACACAATTTAACCAAGACCATCCACCTGCTCCACAATGGAAAGCTCAGTGACGCTTTTTAAGTGAAGACAGGAGTAAGACAAGGCTGCCGACTACTATCATCCATAATCTTCCCGATTGTGGTCGACTGGATCATGCAACAAAACGTGAGGAGCGAGAAGCTGGGCATGCTGTGGTTGAATCGACGAAAAGACCCTAGAAGATTTGTTTTTCTGCCGACAATGATGGTTTATGTCTAATTTCTTGTCTCACAAACTAGTAGATCTACAGGAAAAAATTACAAGTTGATAGAACAAGCAGGGCAGCGAAGACTAGACTTCAAGTGGATTTAGAGAAGACAAAGGTGATGAAGATACCCAACCAACAACAGCATCAACAACAAATACCAGTCACCATGAACAGCAGAAACCTAAAGGAAGTAGTATTTTTCACCTACCCAGGCAAGACAGCATCGTTTCAACTACAGGTGGCGGCACAGATGAGGATATCAAGACCAGGATCGAAAAGACAACAAGACAGGCCTTTATCAATCTGAAGTCAGAGTGGCGATATACTGCACTCAGCATAAAGAGGAAGATCCTAGTTTTCAACACTAAGTCAGTCAAGTCAGTGCTGTTATATGGTTCAGAAACTTGGCGCGTCACGAAAATCACTTCCAACAAACTATAGGCATTCATCAACAGCTGCCATCTACACTCATTCGATACTGAAGATCAAATGGCCAGAAAGAAAAAGCAACGAGGAACTCACTCTGGCTGCAACGAACCAACGATACAAGAGCCCAATGCCCAACAAATATGCAGAAGAAAATGGGATGAATTGGGCAAATACTGAGAAGGCCCATTGGGGATATCACGAGCCAGACCGTCAAGTGGAATCCAAAAGAGAAACGGCGAGTTTGGTGTCCGAGGGTGACATTGAAGAGATCATGTGAGGAAGAAATGAAAGTTTATGGGCAGTTGTGGAGCTAGATTATTTTTTAATTTTTTTATTTGAACAAATAAAAACAAAATTATTCCTCGCTGGAATCGTAAAGGCGAAATGACGTCAGTTGGTGAAAGCCTTCGGGAAGCCGATTGGCCGATATGTCTTCTCTCCCTCGATGAAAGCGAAAGTAAACGTGGGGACATGGAATGTCCGCACCATGTTTGAACTCAGCAAGGCAGCCCAGATTGCAAACGAGATGAAGAGGTATCACATTGAAGTACTTGGAATATGCGAAAGCAGATGGGATGGGAGTGGACTCTCCAAACTGTCAACTGGAGAATCAATAATCTACTCAATATTGTCACCAAGACGACAACCACAAGCACACTGAGTTTTGGAGTGGATATGATGATGTCCTCAACAGCATCAAAGGCTCTCTCTCATGCAGTGGGAACCAATCTCTTCCAGAATCAGGATCATGACAGCAAGGTTCAACTGGAAAGGAAGGAAGGTCACAATCATACAATGCTACGCTATGCTATGCACCTACAAATAATGCAGAGCAAGAGAAGAAGGAGGAATTCTATAGACAACTGCAATCAACACTGGACAAGACCTCAGTTGACGACATCAAAATTCTAATGGGTGGGGTGACATGAATGCCAAACAGGGAGCGAACAACACAGGAAGAGATCTCATCCATCATGGGTCGAGAAGCACTCGTGAGGGGATGAACGAGAATGGAGAATTGTTTGCAGACTTCTGTGCATTCAACGATTTGTTGATTGGAGTCAGGCAGTGCGTTCACGCACAAGGATATCCACAAGGCGAGCGACATGGATTTCACCAGACACCAGGACACACTACACTAAAAATCAGATCGACTTTATCTCAATGTGGAGAGAGTGGAGACGCAGTCAGCCTACTTGACACAAGATCAGATCAACACGGGGGAGCAGATGTAGGTTCACACCACTCACTATCTAGTGCAAGGAACCTTCCAAATCAAGTTAAAAGCCTTCAAGGAAGCTGGTGATAGACCGCAGTTCAAGTACAACACTCAGAGACTGAAGAACGAAACTACAAAGGAGATCTTCACGGCAGCCATCAAGACAAAATGGGAGACGTCGAGGGACATCCCTGAAGAAACCTGTATGGAAGAACACTGGAAGTCTTCAAAAGAGATGTGGAAAGAAACCTGCACAGTCGTATTAGGAGGGAAGAAGAAAGAAGATAAGGAATGGATCTCGATGGATACATGGAAGCTGACAGAGCAGGGAGAAGAGGATGGTGAAGCAGAAGATGAACCAGTGCAAGGATGCTCAACGACAAGAGGAACTGAGCACAATGTATAAAACACACTGGACAGAGAAGTGAAGAAGAATGCATGCAAAGACAAAAGACACTTCTACGAAACACTGGCAAGTGAAGTAGAACAGGCTGCAGGTAGGAGACACAGAGACCTGACAACATTGTATCAAATAACCAGGTTGCTATCTGGGAAGAGATCAACACAGATGAAACCAATAAAAGATGATGACGGAAATTTAACTACCAAAGAAGAGAAACGAAGCAAACGATGGGCCGACCACTTCAAAAAGCTCTCGAATCGACCACCACCACCACCTGCACTTCGTCCAGAAATACCACCTGCAGCCACAGAACAACAAGTGAACATAAATCCTCCAACAAAAGTCAAAGTCCTGAACGCCATAAAGCTACTGAAATGCGGGAAAGCAGCGGGACCAGATGGAATCGCACCA